CAAAGCGCAGAAGTGACAAAGCGACTGGGGTCCCCCACTATTTATACCCACAGTGACCGAGAATCAACGGCTCAGATCAAAGCCAATCCGACGGCCCGTAGTCGCGCTGACCGCACGTCTCCTGAGACCGAGACGTGACTGGCCACACGTCCCTCGAAACTGAAAGTGCACGTCTCCTCACATTAAAGGCAGCAGCGGCACGTTTTCAAATTTGAAAAGACGTCCCCTGTCGCGTCTGTCAGCATTTATAGGCAGATTGGCGCGTTCCTGTCTTTTTGGCGCTCGAGAAACCCAAAAGAATCCTGACGACGCGCACCTCGCGCTATCCGTCAACCAAATTCGAAGTACGGGACAAATCCACCCACCACCTCGCGAACTCCCCGTGCCAGGGCAAGACCCTTAGCACGAGGAGTGGGGGGTAATTGATGAAGGAAGATTTGGCCCGACCTCGTAACCACTCAACACGTGGCAAAGGCAACAGCTCGCCAAGGCGTGAGCTCCGAAAGGAGGAACCAGCGGTCCGAACTCTCTGTAAAGAGCCCGAACTCCCTGAAAGGAGCCCGAGCTCTCCCTTAGGCCCCGAGCCTTGCGAACGCAAAGGGCAACAACCCGAACTGGCCTGCCCCATGGCAGTTCGGGCCACACCTCTATCCGAATTCAAGACTTCACCTCGCACACCACTCCAGCACTTCGCCTCCAGGACGCCGAACTAGACAAACCACACCGTACCTGACACCGAAAGAGTCCGTATCCAGGGGCGGCACACCTGACTGACTTGGGATCTGACGCTTGACAGCCGCACTCCAACGGCCACCTGCCACCGCCATCTCCAGTTACAGAGACGGCTCCGACAAAGAGCAGTGGCGGTTCTGTCCCAGCAGAGGTGATGACACCCGAACTGGCAGAAGCACAGAAGTAATCATAYCCGACCTGACAGAAGCCTAGGAGTGAGTGCACGAAGTGGTTATAAAAGGCTCTCTACCCCCCAAGGACAAGGTATGTGAACTTTGCGCCATCTGGTTTTACCTTGCCTTTGAGAGAATACTAACTTGAGCTTCGGAGTGATCTCACCGGGTTCCTCCCCAGAGATTTCCCACTTTCTTCTCTGTTTCAGGCCCCCCTGTTGCTCCAATCAGAAGCAAGGTCGTTAACAGTTAGGACCGGCCGGATTGCACACCATTAGTTCCTATTAATAATTGATTTGAAATTGGTAGATTCTCAAGGCAAACCAAACCCGATTCATTGATAGCTCTATCTAAGAAGCCAGTGCCGCTTTGATGATTTGAGGCTTTGAGCCGCTCAAAAAGCTGAATAATATCAAGCTTGGGCTCCTGAGTTTTTCACCTTTCACTGAACGTTGCTACTCCTAGGGCTATCTAGGTAGCCGCTTTTTGCAAAGTTAAAAAGTAGCAAGAGAAACAGGTAAGCACAATTAGTAATAAGGGTGCCACGTGTCATCTTTTAAGGATGCCGCATTTTACAAATGAATTGATTTGGAATTGTGTACATTTTCAACGATATTGCATGTTGACAATGCCACATGGCACAAACATAACACTAAATACATTAATGTTTTTTTTTTTCTTTCACGTCATCACGTGTAATAATACCACATGGCACAAATTAATTTTTTGTTCTTTCATGTTCTCTATATTTTTAATTTAAAATTTTTAAAAATAAAAAACACGTCAAACAAATATGTTCATATTCTTTTCTTACTATTATACTTTTAAAAAGTATAAAAAATACTTAAAAAGGTACAATAAAACAGGGCCTTGGATTAAAAATTGAATAGCTAATTTTTTAAGACCATATTGCAACGGAAACTATGGGTGAATTCAACACCAAAACAAGTGTTATTGCCGGTCCACAGACTTTAATTTATTACGGCTGTCACTATTATATGCTGTTTTCCTAATCCTAAATCCTAATAATAAATCCTTAAGGCTGTGTTTTGTTTGGTTTGAAGGAAAAAATAGGGAAAGTAAGGGAAATTATACAAATATTCCTTTTTCTACCTTTTCCTTCAAACCAAACATAGCCTGATAGGAATGCAATGCTTTGGAGGATGTAAATACTTCACTAAATTATCAACATTGTATATGTACGGCAGTCTATAACTTTTACCTTGAGTACCTTTCTAGAAAGTGAAGGGTGTCAGCGTAATTGAGGCATAATGAGCCAAAAAAGTGAGTTGTAAGATTTAGGATATGTTTGGTTTGAAGGAAAAAGTAGGAAAGCAAAGGAAAGAAAATGAAGGAAAAGATGTACAAACCTTGTATAGGTTTCTCTTCCTTTCCCTACCTTTTCCTTCAAATCAAACACAGCTTAAGTCATTGCAAGGCATAAACCTCAAAACTTAATAAAAAATTGAGTTTATAAATTGATAAAAATAACATATAATATACTAAGTTAGAATGGTAGAAGGTACAAATATTCATAAAATATAAGTTTACAAGCAATAAGTTTCAGCTTTTAAACAATTACAAAATTAGTAACTAACAAACTAACAATTATAAACAGTTTACATTATATTTTCAAAATTCAAATTTCTCAAATTATTCAGATGACCAATTTAGAAGAAAGAAAACATATAAAGAATCACCTATATAATTGATATTAGACTTATGGTCATCCAATAGTCTAAAAGAAAGGAAACGACTTAGTTAATTTGATCAATGCAAAAAATAAAATAAAATAAAAAGAATAATCCATTAGAAAAACAACAAATTTGGGATGTTATATTTAGAATAATAAGAAAAAAAACTCCAATTTAATTGGCCCTTTTGGTTTTAACCTCTCTTAAAACACTAAGAGAAACTAATAAAACTTGATTTGATCAATTGGTTTTTCATTTTTACTCTTTTTATTTGGACAGTGATTATTAGAATATTTCTTTCATATATTTTCAATTATAAAAATGCATAAAATATTTTTATATTAAATAACTAAATAGTTATTAACACTTGAGGCTTACGCCTTTTTATGCCTCACGCCTTGAGTCTTGAGACTTAAGCCTCACACGCCTTAGCGTACTGCATACACCTCATGCATGCGCAAAGACTTAAGCCTTTTAAAGCAATAATCTTGCCTATTCAAGAATAGATACCATTTTCATGTCAACGCTGGAGTATAATTTTTTTTTTCTCTCTGTGTAAAAGTATAAAAAGTTTGAAGCCAAATATTCGAAGGAAATAAAGTTTAACAGTAATCACCACTACCAATTTGTTTGTTACCACATCAACTCCTTCGCTGATCACAAAAGCTGATAAAAGAATCCAATGTATAGAACTTATAACGCCTGCATGACCATTCTTTTTCAAATATTTTATGCATGAATCATTAACTAAAACAAATAAAAAGTGTGATCCGTTGAATGAACTACTTAAAAATGTGCACTTGCTTCATAATAAAATCCAGATCTTCTCATAGAGAGCTTTTTACACCAACCACGTAGCACATTGCAGCCATGAATTAGGGGTTGGAAACATCACCCCATGATTGACAACGTAGTATAAGCACGGAAGATGTTCCCAATGAACGGTTACAATGTTCAGCACTGAACTAGAAATACCTTTTCATCCACTCCTGGTCCTGGTTACCTAATGGTGAGATCCCTTTGTAGGAGCTCACCTTCGAGCGTGTGTAAGCATAGATTGCAATCCTATTGGAGCTTGATAGGAAATTAACCAGCAGATCCTGATGTCACATGCTGTTTGGTGATGCATTCAAACACCCTTACCCCAAGTCCAGATCTACTCCACACAAACGCTGTGTATGTGGCATGTATATAGGTCACTACAGCCGCACAATCTCCCATCTTACTTAGGGATGCAAATGAGTCGGATACCCTGATTCAAATCTGATCCAACACTGTTAAGGAGAGATTCAGTCCATTTAATACAAAAATCTTTTCAGCTACTTCGATTTTATATATACATATTTTTTATAAAAAAAAATTAAGTAATATAATAAATTTTGCAAAAGTACAATATTAATAATACATTTATAAATAAATAACATATATATATATATGTGTGTGTGTGTGCATGTGTGGGTGTGTTATATTTAACTTATATATATCAGATCAGATCCTATTATCTGTTCGAAAAATCCGAACTAAGAAGATGTGAATTCAATAAAATAAGAGGATCTTAGATCGGATCATGATCCGATCCATTTGTACCCCTAATCTTACTCATAGCATGCACACACAATTTTGCTCAGTTCCACCTACCCCATCTTTGTGCCTCATAGAAGTCCCCTACATTCTTCAATCTATATGCATTTACCGTGAATTAAGTGTTGATGTTGGCAAGGTACCCAACTATGGAAGTCCATAGTGTGGGAACATGATTTAGAGCAAATGTGGATGAAGAGGGAGGGAAGGGTGAGGGCTGCAAGTCGGGTTGTTTAATTTGAAGAAATTCAATTGTATAATAGACGGGGTATAATTTAGGTCCATTGAAAATTTTTATAAAGATGTGGTATAAAAGCTTGCATGCATGGAGAGTGTAGTTTAATTAGAAATGCAAGTAATTATGTTATTTGAAGGAAATCACATCCATCAGTCCGGATCAGGTTGGCACATACTATGAGTTGGCTGAGTGGACCCCTTTTTGACTGGATAGAAAATTGGGAGATGATATCAAGGATCAAATATGTTTTGACTCACTCTCTTAGAGTACCCCCAAGACAGATCTGATATAGATGTGAATATGGATGAATTTTGGATACACATGGGTATGGTAGAGGAGATCAAAATTTTTGCTTGGTCAACGAGCGATTAACAGGGCAGGGATCACACTTTCTATTTAGCATGGCTGCTCCAACACGACCCCATGTAACATGGTTTTCAAAACCAAACCGGACCAGAAAAACCGGTAACTGGTCAGGCCCCAAGGTCTGATTATAAAAACCGGAAATCTCAAAAAAACGTTGAAAAAAGTCAGAAAACCGCTAAACCGTTTGACCCGAGCAGCGGTTTGCGGGTTCTCTTTTTTATTCTCACTGTTATAAATAAAATAAAATAAAAAAGTAAAATTACTTTAATATCCCCATCCCAAATCAATTAATCGAATGTAGGGTTAGAACTTCATTTTCGTTCTAACCCTTCGTTCTTCCCTCCTCTCAGCCCCCACACCCAACCGACCACCTGCGGCGGCCAGCACCTCCGACGTTCGACGGTGACACGCCGACCAATGGCGATTAACGGTGACCGGCGACCAGCAATGACGAGTTTGCAGTGGCGGCTAGCGTTTTTTGCAATTTGCAGCACTTCCAGGCTTTGCGGCAGGCAGGTTTGCAGCGGCGGCCAGCACCTCTGGCGTTTGACAGCGACAGACACCAACCAACTACGATTAACGGCGACCAGCGTCGACGAGTTTGCAGTGGCGGACAGCGTTTTTTGCAATTTGCAGCACTTCCAAGCTTTGCAGCAGGCAAGTTTGCAGCGGCTGCCAACTTGCAACGGCGGACAGTTCTAAAGATTTGGAGATTGATTGTGAGTGTTTTTGACACCTAGGAACAGTTCTAAAGAGATTCTCAGAATTTTGAAGTTTTTGCTTGGTTGAAGCTTAGAGAGCAGCATTTGGCATAGTGCTTAGGTACAAATTAATGTAATTTTTTTATCAATTAGGTAAAATTAATGTATATTGAAGTCTTTTACAGATCAATCTTGGTTGCATATCAATCTAACATTCTAAAGTGAATGCTCCTATTTCTCCCCTTTTATTTTGGTGCCAAGGGAATCTATCCCTGTGAATCTTGATTTTAGGTCAAGGATTTTTGCATTCTAGGATTTAACATTCTAGACTTTTTTTCTGTATTTTTTGCAAATTTCTGTTTTATTTTTCTGTTTTTCTGTATTTTTTGTGTGTTTTTTCTGTATTTTATTTTTATATTTTCTATGTATTTTGTACTGTATTGTTTTTTATTTAGATAGTTATATTTTCTGTATTTTATTTAATTTTATGCTATTTTTATTATTTATAAATATTTTTATTTTTAATTTATTTATGACATCACAGGCAGAACCGTTCGACCCGGACGGTTGAACCGCTTAAACAGAAACTGGTCCCCTGACCGGTTCTGTTTCAGGTTCGTTTTTAAAACCATACCTTGTAATGAGTGCGTAAGAGCATTGTTCAGTGTTCACCAATCACCATGTGGCTGATCCCTTGCAAAAAAGAGAGACAGGGAGAGAACCTCTTACATGATGAATGAATGGTAATTTCTTACATATTTAATTGTATATTAGATATACAAAGAATTTTGTTAATATACATACAAATAAACAAGTCAGTCTTCTCAAGGGAAAAAAAAAAAAAACTTGACAAGTCAGGTTACAACATATGGCATTTGTCTGACCTCAATAAATAAACATGGTCCCACGGTTCCGTTTGCATCTTCTGCAACATTTAAAGAACTACACCACGCTACTTTTGAAGTACTTACTGAAGCATTCCTCCTCTCTGCAGTATCTGTGTACGACTTTGTATACTTCAATTAAGAGTTTAGGAAAACGAGCTGAGAAATAACCATCAAATCCTTCAGGAATCGGCCCGAGAATTTCCTAAGAAAAGTCATTGAAAATTAAAATTAACATGACATGAAACAAAGAAAAAGAACTCAGACTTTGTTATGAACAAACAAAGGTATATAGCCTTTAAACATTCAACTATTCAAGCAATAATATCACTGGCAAATGTTACATCAACATCCGTTTTAAAATAGATCAGATAAAGGCTAAAATGTAAAAGCTTGACACATGATTCATCGTACGTTACGATTAAAGATGGTTTTCCATGGATTCTGTTTTTGCACAGGTTGCACAGCTTGAATCTGTGAATGTTAAAATCATTTGATATTTAAAAAAAAAATTATGCTTATATGGCCTAACCATTCTAAAACAGTTCAACCAATCAAATAGTGGAGGCAAGGCCAATCTTAAAATATGTAAATTGTAGGTTTAGCAAAGAGCTTCTATTTATGCTTGTGTTCTAATGTGAGTATGAATGAACAAACACTAAAAATCAATACAATTTGAAGTGAACACTTGTCATTTCCTATAAGGACAATAAAACATGAAGATGTCCATATTAATACCTGGATTTCTTTTGGAAGTTCCCTGTAATGATTCAACTTGTTTCGTATGACCCGCAATAAATCACGAATACTATCAAACTTATAACGCCTATAATGCCCAATGTTTCTGATGAATGCTGCTTCCATCTTGTCATCCCATTTCCCATTTAAAGCCACTGGAGCAATACTTTCTAACGCTTTTAAAAGATCAGATTCATTTGCCCTATCTTCTAATTCCACCCTGTCACTAGTATCTCGAAGAAAGAAAAGCCGCATCTCAGAATCCCAAAAGACAGGATGGTGCAACACTTCTAGTGCCTTTGGCCTGAGAAATTCACAAACATTTAAAAGGAAAAGGAAGAAGAAGCTCATTAGTGAAATTAAAGAAGCAAAAATGGATCATCACATTGGATACTGATATCAACCAAAAGAAGGCCATTACCCATGTTGGTCAAAGTTATTTGGGGTCTTGGGAGGGATGAACTGAATGGATACAGACCTAACATTTGGCATTTTTTCGCACAGAGTGTGTGCTCTCAGACTCAAACCTGAGTTCTCACACTCCTCAGTCCAAGATTTTACTATTAGACCAATCAATAGCCCCTTCTTACCACTCCACAGTTCTTATCACTTAATAATTCTAACTATTGAATGGCATGAACACTTGTCATATTCTTACAAAGAAATTACTCTTACCTCAGCTCAGGCTCAAAGTCGAGTAAATGAGAGAAAAGATCCATAGCTTCTGGTATATGCTCTACAGGGAAAAGGTCTACCCTATTCTTCACAATATTGATGTCACGTTCAAGATGGTCACCAAATGGGTGTCTTCCTCCACTGACACAATAAAAGAGGACACAACCTAAACTAAATAAATCTACTGCACGAGTTTGGCGTCTATGAAGAAGTTGTTCAGGTGCCTGCCATCCCGAACTACCACAGCCTACAAAGAAATCGATGATAATATGATGAAACAGAAGTGGTTGTTGATACTTGTATCCAGAACAAATTATCAAAAAAAAAAGTACCAATCATGCAGAGCCTTTTGTTAGGTGCCTCACACCCACATATTTATCAAAAAAAAAAAAGTGCCTCACTCACATCTCAAAAGTTATCAAACATTCATGTGAAGCCAAAAGCCCCAATAGAAGAAGAAAACATGCATGAAAATAGCCCAACACTCAAGCCCAAACTTTAACCTATACAAGCAGAACAAGAAATTTCCCAAACATCAACCTGTTGAGACCAGAACACTGTACGCACTTACTCCAACACCCTCCCCATTAGACCTGTTCATGGGCCAGGCTGGGCCGGGCTTTCACTCTTCATTAACAGATTTTTTGAAGGCCCGAGCCCGAGCCTGGCCCTCGTAAAAAGCCCAAAGTCCAGGCCTGGGCCCGAGCCCGAAGTCAAGCTCAACTGGGCATATTGACACAGAGATGATAGAGAGATGCTTGGGACTGGGGCATCTTTGTAAATGTGTAAGAATTTATGCTAATGCCATTGGAAACGAGAATCAAGATCAAAGCTGCAGATACTTATCTGGCTTTAGAATTTAGAAAGTGTTTACTTTGACCTTTTCTTGGTGCTATCATCGAAGGCGCGTTAAGGTTGCTGAATACAGAATTGAGTTTGATCGCTTGCTGTACTTCATGATCATCTCGTTGAGTTTGACTGGCTTATATTTGACTATTTATTTGCACTTACTTAGGCGCGCGGTGGTGTAGAGTATTCAAGTCCTTTTTATATTATATAAATTAGCCAAGCCAGGCTTTTTTGACAAATCCCAAGCCCGGCCCAAAATACAATTGATCTTGGTGTTTTGGGCCCGAGGTCAGGCCCGCAGGCCTAACTACATGTCCAAGCCTGACCGGGGTGCGGGCAGGCTGGGCCGTTGGGCTACCCGGCCCATGAACAGGTCTACCCCCCATCCACTCGCCAAAAAAGAAAAGAAAAAAGTGGGAGAAAAAACAGTTAGAATTAAACCAAATTAAAGAAAGCACCATCTGATCCAATGCACTAGACAATCAAATTCTGACAAAGTGGTTCTCAATTGTTCATCAAATGAGGAGCCACAAATCCCAAAACCACATGTTTACCACATACCATGATATTGAAATGTATATGTATAAAGGCAACAATAAGCCTAGCCACAGGTACTTACCAGTAACTTGATGACCCAAGGAAGACATGTTGGTAGGAAGGCGTTTGCTGATCCCCATATCAGAAAGTTTTGCATATAAAAATCTCTCCTTGATTATCAACACATTTTGAGGTTTTAAGTCCCTATGGATTATCCCCAATTCATGCAGATGTGCTAGCCCAGATACAATATCCCTTACATAAATGGAAAAATGCAAAAATTAGATATATGCATAAACAATCCCTACTCATGCACATGCATATGAATTAATGCTAGTTTCCTTTACAAATAGAGGCAAAACATAAGGATACAACAACTATATATTTGCTTAGAATTTTTTTTTCTTTTTAATTATTTTCAACCAGAAACCTTACAGAATTCAAATTGGTAATAGTTCGATGCACACTGATGATACATCTAATGGATCTAGGCATTGTCAAAACAAACACAGACTATTAGGCTATGTTTGGTTTGAAGGAAAAGGTAGGGAAAGACAGGGAAACCAATACAAGGGTTGAAAAGGTTTCCCTTTCTTTCCCTACATTTTCCTTCAAACCAAACATAGCCTTATGGAATTCTAAGGTAAAAAATCATTGGCATTCTGTGCATGAAAAGTGGATGAGTATATATACATGTATAAATTCTCTACTTGACCCAATTAGTAAACTATTTTTACCGTGTGGAGGGATGATATGACCAATCCAACCAGTCAGGTGAATTGAATACTTTTGGATTAGCCATATGTTCAGTCCCCCAATCCACATCAACCTATATGGCACCGTCTTCTGAATTTTCTCATGACCAGTATTAGCCATCCACTATTTTAAACTTTCAATTTATTAATTCAAAAACCAACAAGAAGGGTTAGATGTTTGGAAAGGGATTTCAAGCTGAAATTTCTCACATGACAAGAGGATAAGATGGATGTATGTGTAGCAGAAAAGAAAGTTGAACCAACCTCATAAGCTTTAACAACTGGGATGAAGGATAACCATTCCCCTTCCACAATTCAACATCATTCTTAAGTCCATTCAGAGAATGCAACTGAATATGATACTGATTCCCAGGATCTGCAGCCTTGTCTTTGATCAATAATTGATTGGGAGAAAAATCTGAGTACATCTGAATTAAATCACTTAAGCTACAAGTGCATCGCTCTAGTGCAAGATATACAAAATTATCATCAGATTCATATCTGTAAAGTCGAACTATGTTTGGATGTGAATCAGATTCAGTAAGATTCTGAATCTCTTTAAAAGCCACATCATGATGAGACAGTAGAAGGCGTTTAATAGCAACAGGACGGCCATAACAGACTCCCTCAAAGACAACAGTACCATTGCTTCCCTTGGCAATTTCTACATTGGACACTAACAATTTGCCAATCCTACGTCCACTGCGACCACTATCAACAGGTTCCATAAGATTCAATAATGGATTCTCATTTCTCCCTGAGTGTAAATGCCCATCAATTTCTTGATCTTCACTCTCAGATGACATATGTCTATTACTTTTCATAATATTTGCAGTGTTCTTATTGTGTCCAGATTTCCGAGCTTTCTTCCTCTTGGGAACTACAATCTGCCCTTCAAACTCATTTGACTGCTTTCCCAATTTACTTTCATTAGTAACTGCTAGAGTATGGCGGTACAAGAAAAAGAGCAAGCCTATGCCCACAACACATAATACAAGACCAATTGTAGCTTTATCAGTATAGTGAATGCTTCTCAAACTTTCAAAAGTTAGTGAAGAGATCGTTTCTTGATTTCTAACTTTCTGTGCCTCAGATACCTTGTCAAACATATGCTGTAAAGGATTATGACTTGCAGCCGGCAAAGGAAGTGTCCTGTCTGGGGGATGGGATGGTAGAGAAAGTACTTTGGATTGGAAAGAAACACCCAACAGCTGAGACAGGGAAAGCAATAAAGAAAGCATTTCACCTTCAGGCAGAGTGTGAATTCTGTGTTCATAATGAGTTCTCGATGGTGTGCTAAGTTCCACAGCATTCAATTTATCAGTGTAATCAGCATCAGTGAGTAGAGATGCCATTGCTCTGTCTTTATGATCAACCTCAAATAGTTCAAGATTGGGGACAATATTAACTTTTACTTGACCAGCCTCAATAATGGAAGAGGCTATAAGCCACAAAGCTTCATTTGACTTTATAGCATGAGACATAAATTCATATCCGGTCCTGGTGATAAGAAGCACTTCAGCTGCATCAATATCTTTCTTGGATAAAGGATGCTGCTCATCATCAACAGGTACCCCTAACATTGGAGAACCAACTTTATCAAGTATTTGCCCAGTCTTGACATCAAGAACATAGACAATAGTTGTCTTTGACCCGACTAATACTGCTCCATTCTCTAGAAATTGCGGTGTAACTTTTAGAATTTCTTCCAATCTCTGGAGCAAAAATGAAATAACAAAGTAAACAGTAATGCAGCTTTACAAAGAAAGGATAAATAGAATCAAGTAAAAATAGGGCTAGAAAGCAACTTCTTCCTGCACCATGGACTCGCCTAAGATACCTCTTAGGCGGTTAGGCCTAAAAGAAGTCCACCATCGTTACACTCAGACCTTGGTAATCTAAACATATCTATTTCTGATCAAATAAAAGTAATTTGTTGTGTTAGCCCAACGCATACCTGTTTACTGAATGACCTGTGCACATAGAATTCCCAGTCATCCTTAACATCAGAAGAGATGTCTTTACCCATGCCATAGGTAAAAAGTCTCTGTCCTAAATCGATTGACCAGAGGACTTTTCTGGACTTGATGTCAACTAAATGAATCATACCATCCATGGTGGCAAAAAGTTCTTTAGCATCCTCTCTGATTTGACAAAACAAATTGGGGGGGGGGGAGAACATCAAGTTAATTGATATGCAATTTTGAGAAATTATCATTAAATTTATGCAGATCAATGGACCAAATACATAAATTCACCCATACATCAGTAGGAAGCAGGAACCAGAAATAACTTCCAGGCCCTATCATGCGAAGAAGTTCTAGAAAATAAGATGGAAGACAATTGTAGAAAACAAAGAAAAAAGAAGGTAGCTAACAAGGGTAACATAGGAAAAAGAAACTTCCTCTTTTCTTTTCTTTTCTTTTTTCTTTTTTTGTGAGAATATATTGTTAAGCATTTGTATCAATTTAACACCGAAAAGCTCTACAAAACTGCACCAATGCCCAAAGAACATGGTATATACAGTTACAAGCATGTATGATAACTCTGACCTGGAATGCAAGCTATCAGATAATACAGCCGAATTGATTTGTGTATAAAAAAATAAATGTGTACTACTTCATATCCAAAGGAAAATGAGTTCATAATAAGTTTATCACTGTAAAGTGTAGGAATTTCAATAGCAATGTTTCAGGCAAACACATATCATAACAACATAGAATAACTCTAGATTTGGATCTCCTCTTCTATTATCTGTAAAAATAAATAAATAAATAAACAACAACCAAAGTTTTAGAGAACAAAACTTACGATGGAGGAAGAGACAACAGAGTTCTACCCTCTGGAGAGTCGGAGCTCTGGAAAGGCTCGAGATTGAGATTCCCATTTAAGACGAGATTCGAAATGAGGGGATCTGTCGTTTCAGAAATGGTGATATTACCTTTAAGATTCGAGACGGGAGGCCCTGAGGGTTTCGAAATTGAGGAATCGCCAATTGAAGCGGAGAATCCGGTGATGATCAAGAGAAACCATAGAAGAAATAATAAATATGGTTTCATCTGGGTGTTCGATCGATGTGTGGAATTTTTGCAAGGAAACGAGTAATCGAGGGGTTTTAAGGTTTTCAACTGTTGGACTTGAAGGAGATAGAGATAGTCTAATGTGACTTAAATGTGGATAATAGGTATGGTATGGGATCTGAAAGTGGACGATCCGGAAGTTGCTACTGGAATATGACCTGGACCTTACTCGTGTGACCTTACTCGTGTAGCGAGTTGGACGAAGTTGCAAGACAAAGGATCAGAGAATTCGGGGTGGTTAAATTGGCGAGGTCGCTTTGATGATTAAGTCAGTACTGGGTTGTGCGAGCTAAAAGTTTGTATGTTAATAAGCTAGTGAGCAAATAATCACGTGTACCCTGTGTCATTGGGGTTAGTGCCTTTATATAGGCATTGTTTGGCGTAGGCTTCACGCACCGCATCCGAGATTTCTGGGAGGTCGTGCCTTATCAGTCCGAAATCCTCGAAGGTAATCGCTATGCACGTTGACCATCCTTCGAAACATTCGGTACGTGGCCAACTTTCGAGAAACCTGAGAGTGTCAGGGTATACATGCCAAATTTGTCAGCTAGCACATCTCGCAGGTCAAAGCCTGGTCCTCAATTAGGTCGGCAAGCCCTCGAGAGAGGTCGCGCCTCGCATCGAGGTCACTTCGGCCGGGGATGAGGTGCTATAGGTCGGCCCTAAACAAGGTGTTGCAAGCTTACCTAAGTTGTGGTCGAGGTCGCTAGGTCGGCGATAAAGGCAGGTTGCCAAGTCGGGGTGAAGACGAACTACGATCTGGGACTCTAAATCATCGCTTAGGTGGCATCTGGGTGTCGTCCAACTATTTCGGGATGCCATGTGTCATGAGGTTATTGGAAGGCCAAATCCGCCCTCATCAATTGCCCCTCACTCTCGAGCTGAGAGCAGCTCGACAAAGGGAGTAGATTGTTCATTTTGGCCCGGAATGACTGTTTTGATGAGCTCGTAGTCATTGGTGTTAATCCAATTTGCTTCTTAGGTCGGAAGAGTCCAAGTGCTTGCAACCTTACGCAGGACCCCACAGTCTTGATCGGGGCACAAGAGCAAATTCATCCACTCGAGGAGAGGTGGAATAGGTACCCCAAGGACATCTACCTTATTAGGGATGCGACCGTCAAGGGGTTCTGCAATCCAACTAAGTACCTCAAGAGCAAAACTCATTATGCCGTCCTCAAGAAGGGGTTCTGTGTCACTGCTTTATCAGGTCGCTCCACCTAGGTACACTTTGACGCAATGTCCCACGAGCTGGTTCTCAAAAGAGTAGTCAACGAGTTTGATGTGGAGACTGAAACCGAGGTGGAGGCCTACTGTGAAGAGATCGGCCAAGTTTGCGTCTGTCATAGTGCTGAAAGCGAAGTAGTCTTTCCTTTGTTTTTCTTTCTTGTGCTGAATTAGTCTTCATTCCTTTGCTTCTTTTTCTCTCTTTCTTTTTCTGCACATTGATGAGGCTGAGGCGGAATGGTGTGTACCCGACCTGTCTGCACACCGATGGGGCTAAACGCGAACTGCTTTTTTATTCCGCCTATGCCGAAGAGGCAAATAGATCTTATCCATGGTTAGCACCGAGGTCACTATTTGTTCGGCGCCGTGGCCCTTGGGCTCTAGGAGCGACTCATAGTCAACTCCCCATAATATTATTTAGCCGATGTGCGGCCTGACCTCTCCGCCTAAGCGAGTGGTCATTCTGTAGTAACTTCTCATATGGCTGCTTCTACGTCATCCCGTGGTATTATCTTCCTTGGTGAGTGATTTCGTGACCACAAAGCAATTCGGGGCCACGGTTGCACTACATCAGCCTCGTAGTGATGCCGGTCATCCACTCCTACAAGAAGCCACTGGGAGTTCGACCTGTGGAGGCAGCACTACTGACTTTAGGTCGCCAGCTCGCACGGGAGCCTTGGAAGGCTCAACCTGCAAGGGCGTCCATGCAATCCGTTGGCCGCCAGCTCCCGCGGGAGCCACAAAGAGCTTGACTTGTAGAGGCGACCTCGCGAAATGGGGCTGATGAGGCCTCATCCTGGCTGATTACTATTGAGGATGAGTTGAGCTCGTTTTGTTGTTGTCTACATTGGGCTTCTCCCATGCTCAGATCTAAAAATTCATGCTTCATCTCATAGAACTGCCATGCTTCAATTCCGGCCGAAAATCGCGGATGGCTCTACCGCGGGGAGAGGGGCGTTCACATGTGGTAGCGGTGTATTTATCTGAGGCACTGGGAATGTTGGGTTCGGCCTAAAGTTGTCTAATTGTCACATGGGAGTTCTCAAGGTTCATCACAGATGTTCTTGCCCCCCAATAATTGATATTCGTTATGGATGTTGGTGTTGCTCAAAAATGCTTTTTAGTTCATAAAAAAATGGAAATTAGAGAGTGAGAACTTAAATTTTTAAAAGGCGAAATCTTAGCTTTTTGGAAGATGAGGACAAATTTTTAGAAGGTGAGAACTTAGCTTCTTGTAGCATTTCCCACAGATGGCGTCAATTGATAGTGCACAATTTGTAAGCTCCTAGCTGGAAGATGACATGGACCTTAGTCATGTAGCGAGTTGGACCAAGCTGCAAGACAGAGGATCAGAGAACCTGGGGTGGTTAACTCGGCGAAGTTGCTCTGATGCTTAAGTCAGTACTGGGTTGTGCGAGCTAAAAGTTTGTATGCTAGTAAGCTAGTGAGCAAATAATCACGCGTACCCTGTGTCATTGGGGTTGGTGCCTTTATATAGGCATTGTTTGGCATAGGCTTCACGCATCGCATCCGAGATTTTTGGGAGGTGCTTTACCGGTCTGAAATCCTCGGAGGTAACCATTATGCACATTGACCATCCTCTGGAACATTCAGTACGTGGGCCAACTTCCGAGAAACCTGGGAGTGTCGGGGTATGCATGCCGAATTTGTCGGCAAGCACATCTTGCAAGTCACCACCTGTTCCTCAGTTAGGTCATTAAGCCCTTAAGAGAGGTCGCACCTCGTGTCAAGGTCACTTCGGTCGGTAATGAGGTGCTATGGGTCGGCCCTGGACAAGGTGCTGCAAGCCGACCTAAGTTGTTGTCGAGGTCGTCAGGTCGGGGCAAAGATGAAGTATGATCTATGACTCTAAATCATTGCTTAGATGGCGTTTGAGTGTCATCTAGCTGTTTCAAGATGCCATGTTTCATGAGGTTATTGGAGGGCCAAATCCGCCCTCATCGTGATCCGTTGTCAACTACATAGTAGATATGACATAGTTGCTACGAGGATGCCAATTCCATGTGGGTAAGGCAAGTTAGAATCAATTTGGCTTTCCTTCATCGTTTCCACTCTCCACTTTCCATCAGCATTGATTTTGTTTCGTTTTGACACCAGAAAGGTATGATACCTGAAGAGGTTTAACCAATCAAAATCTCCCGTAAATTTTGATAAATGCCAAGGTTATCAGTTTTTAATTCCGCTGATGCAACTATGCTAAGTGGTTTGTCAAATGTAAATTATTATAGAACAAATTTTGTGAAAGATAAAATTTTTAATTAAAAAATTATTGGAAAAAATATCTATTTAAAATAAATAAAAATTTATAAATAATAATATATTTAATTTAATAAAATAAAACAATAAATAATTACAACCATCAAGCAATAGAGTGAAAGAGGAAGAGATGATTTTTGTCATTGTATTTTTGTTTAATATAGTAGAATAATTGTAAATAGTTAAATAATAAATAATTTAATTTAATAAATAAAATAAATTTAGTAAAATAAATTAAATAAATAGACAATCAAGTGAGAGAATAAATAAGTAATAATAAATAATTTAGTAGATTATTAAATTATTAATTAATTAAATAATTTAGTAAAAAAAGTAAATAAATAAATAGAACTTTATGTATTATCTACACAAGATTGGTAAAGGCTATCTTAAATTAATTAATTAATTAATTTAGCATTGTTAATGGATCGGACTGAACTATTGGGCTATCAAGCCCATGAACAGGCTTAGCCCCGGTTTGTGGCCTGGCCTAGCCTAAGACTTGGCCTGGAGACCAGCTCGGCCTGTGGCACAACACGGGCTAAAATAAAATTTTAAGATCTTTTTTAATTTATGCTAAAATTTTCATTATTTTTTCAAAATTTTTAAAAAACATGGCTTAGCCCGATTCATGGCCTAGCCTGGCCTAAGACTTGGCCCGCGGCATGACATGGGCCCGCGTAGGCTCAGGTCGTATATTATATACAATAATTATATAATATATAATTTTATTTTCAATTTTATTATATTATTTCATTTTATTATTGCATATATAAACAATTGTATACATCAAAATTTATATAAAATAAAAGTTTAAGATCTTTTTTTATCTATTTTTTTAATTTATGTTAACTTTTTCATTATTTTTTTCAAAATTTTTAAAAAACATGGATTAACCCAGTTCATGGTTGGCCTATCCTAAGACTTGGCTCGCAGCACGACACAGGCTATGCAGGCTCGTGCCAAGGGTTGTGTCGGGCCAACCCCCTAATGTATCCCAGGAGAGGTAAGCACAGACTGGCTTAGCACAACCCACATGACATGTCCTGTTTGTAAATAAAATGAGAGATAAAGACAATCTTTAACAAATATAAAAAAAAAAAAGATAAAAATTTAGTGGCATCTGTAAGCACCATGGCAAGGTGGAGGTTAGTCAGTCTCCGAAAGTCTGGAAATGGTGGCAGGAAAAGAGAGGATGTGGGGAAGAGATGAGAGAAGGGAGAATCCCCTTCTCAAAAACCCTAGGTCAGAGTTATGATTCTGTTGTCTCCCCACTAGGGAAGGATTGCTCTCCCCCTTTTATAGAGAAGAAGTTAAATAAGAAGTTCTTTCCTGTTAGGAAAGGGAATGTTTTCTATTAGGAAATGAGATATTTCCTTTATTTTGACTATTAAGGGATCATTATTAGAGAATCCTATCCCTTTTGGATTCTCCCCATATGTGACCTTGTTATACTGACATGGCGTGGGTGATGTCATCGTTTCGCATACGTATCCGCATGTGTAATTAAAAGATGCACATGTATCCAACATTTATTCCCGATCTACCGTGATTTCGCAGTTCTCATAATGGTGTTGGGTTCGTCGCAACTCTGCGTGTGTTCGGGGTTCATCGTAAATCCCCACGTCCCGGGTTCATCACAAACCTACATATATTTTAGCTTTATCACAAATTCGCACTAGCTGAAGTTCATCGCAACTTGTCCTAGGTATGAGTTCATCACAATTACAAATCTACGATGAACTTATCACAGACGTGCGATGGGTTACGGGTTCATCACAGGCATCTATGTAGCATTGGTTTGACACCCTCTATACTTTGATGGTCTTAGTGACCAACATGTACCTACAACATCATTATAAATAATTAGCAATGACACCATTGTAAATAATTATATATTTAACATTATGGAAGAAGAAAAGGAGAAAGAATAAATTATAATTTTTTTTGTTTTATTTAATGGCATCATTATAATTAATTAAATTAATAAAGGTAAAAACATGAAACGAAAAAAATTATAAGATTATAAGATTTCTTTTAACTTATAAAGAAAAAAAATCCATTTGACAACAATTGGCCGTGCATACAGTACAGGGCTACAGGCTATTGCCCATTGGGTTAGCGATTTCAAGATCCGAGTTATAACCCGTTTGTTAAGACTTTTACGTCAAACTGTCTCAAAAGCGAATTGCGATGACAGAGGCGTAATGGTTGAACACCTGTGGTCAAGAGAGAACCCAGATTGCACTTATGAGGCACCCTCTATGGGACGCAGCGCAGATGTGAATTCCCAGATTTCCTCTACCGGCGCTGGCAGAAATCCAGTTTGACCCTGACTCGCTGGTAGAGTAATTTCGTAATACAGCTGTGTTTTTTGATGTAGTGGCACTAGGGGTGAGCATTATTCGGTTAGAACCGAATATAGAATCGAAATTTTTCGGTTTTTAGATAATTCATTTCGATTAATTTGATTTTTAGGAATTTAGGTTTTTGGTTTTGGTTTTTAGAGTTAGAAATTCGATTAATTAACTGAAATTAATAATTATATAATATATATATATAATTATTATATATTATATATTAATATATAATATATAACATTTAATATATAATATGCTATATATTTATATATTAATATAATATATATATAATGTATTATAATGAAATTCAATTTCATAATATATATTATAGGTTATAATATATAATATTATATATATATATTAATTAAATTCGGTTTTTAACCAAAATTTTGGTTTCGGTTATTTCAGTTTTCTTGTAATTCGGTTTCAGTTCAGTTTTCATTTTTTATTTAGGTTTTTAAATTTTTGGTTTATTTGGTTCGGTTTTTAACTGAATAAACCAAATGCTCACCCTTAAGTGGCACGTCTTCCGGGTTTTCACCAAATGCAACTTTTGGCGTTTTCGTGTGGGGTTCAGTTCAAAATGCCAAAAGCCATGCCCCGAAATCCCTCCCAAACAAATACTTAATCAACCCTGACCTGAAGTTGTGATTAAGTGGAATGATATACCCTTGGAACTAGACCTGTTCATGGGATGGGTAGCCCGATGGGCCGATGCAGCCCAACCCGATCTAAGTCGGGTTTGGACAAGATATTAAGCTCGCAGGTTCGGGCTTGGGCCTAAAACATCAGGCCCTGACTTTTTTTTCGGGCAGAGTTCGTACTTTCTCAAAAAATCCTAGCCCAAGTCCAAGCCCGACCTAATAACGTATTTATATAATAAAAATATATAATATATTCTTTTCTTTATTATTATTATATTTTTTTCAAGTAATAGTATCGGATCTCGGATCGAATCGATCATTGATCTGATCCATTTGCACCCGTACACATCACGAATGATCACACCAATCTTTAGTATACATGGGAAACCTATTATGAGTGAACATGCCAATGTTCTATAGAGGTGTTCACTCATCATATTCCCTCATGATAGACTGTCCAACCTTCTATGCATAATTTTGTCTTTAGCCAATTGGGATTCCTATGCTTTGGGCTGAAAATGGATTAGATTTAATCGTCAAATTCATGCATTACTTGGATTGAATTAGATCTAAAAAATATTATTAAATTAATTAAGATATTGCCTGATCACGCGTATTAGGATTTCATCCCATTGTAGAGTTAAGTGGGATTTGGGCTTAGATAATTTCTTTCTCATTTATACTATATATCTTTATTTTACATTTAATGTTATAAAATTTATAACTCCATTAATATGAGCTTGTCTTACATCGTTTTTTCTAAACCGGAGAAAGGAAGAGGGTTGTGTTAGGTTGGCAGCTATCATAAAATTTTTACTAAATTCTATTAGTGAAGGAGTGGACTCCATATAGTTTGGATAAAAGCTTAGATGATGATAAAGATAATTTAATTTTATATTTTATGACTTTAAATTAATCTATTAATATATATTAAAACAAAGATGAGAACTTGAAATTTTCTGAGTGGGATGAGCTTATGATTATACATAGTAGCCACTTTTTTAGTTTAGTTCATAAATTCATAATGAAATATCTGATATTGACACATGCCATCTCGGTGCAACCTTTTGGAAGAGATATAGAACACTCAGATTTATGGAACTTTGCCTTGCTCTTTTTTCTGGCGAGTAAGTTTTGCATCGCATAGGAGTTTAAGCTGAATCTTTTGGGATAATGCCCCTATGATTTTCTCTTGGCTCAATTTGGAAGGACTATAAATACAAATTTGTGCAGTATTAATACATACAAAATAATATAAAATACAAGATTTTGCACTATAAATATTTGTTTTTATACTCCGTCCAAATTGAGTTTTAGGGTTGGGAAAATTTTGAGTGCCCAGACGATGATTATGGTAATAATAATAATAATAATAATAATAATAATAATAATAATAATAATAATAATAATAATAATAATAATAATAATAATAATAATAATAATAATAATAGTAATAATAGTAATGATGATGATGAAAATAAAAATGAAAAGAGCAAAAACAATAAACATTTGGCTAGAGGATGAGAAGCTTTTGTTTGAAGAGATTTCTTATAATTATTTTTATTTCTTTCATTAAAATTTCTTTTTTTTTTGTGCTTTTATGGTTCATTGATAATTTTATATTATTATTCTTGGGCAAAATTGATTTTTCTTTTATGTTTAAAATCATGACATCATCTTTTTTTATTGGCATCCCAATGTCAAAATAATGAAAGGGGTTGGTTTGTATAATTTATCTAAATTGTGGAGGGAGGTTATGAGTTCGGATGGGCTCCCCACAATGCACGGCCCACAGCACATCCCCCGTGCATAGGGGTGGATTTGAGCCGAGTTGAGACGAATACTTGACTATTTGGGATGTGTTAGGTTCAAGCTTAAGCTTGGCTCGATTCAAAGCTTGCAAGTTTGAGCTTGGCTCAACTCAAGCTCGACTGTAAGCCAATTTTCAAAAAAAAAAAATATATATATATATATATATATAAATATTTTTTGTTTTACAAACAAAAAATTAAGAATTATAAAAATTATTTACTATTATATTTATATATTATGTATGTGTATATGTATGTATGTATGTATGTATGTATGTATGTATGTATGTATGTATGTATGTATGTATGTATACAATAAAAAAATATTTATTTATTATACTAGGCTCATGAGCTGAACTCGAGCTTCACTAGGCTCGAGCTCAGCTCGAAGCTCGGCTCATGGCCACCCCTATGGCAGTGCATTGGGAACATCTCTCATGCTTTTCATGGGGAGATGTTCCCAATACATTGGAGAATGGACTATCGGATACCCATGGGGCATGCTCTGTGAGGAGTCCATCCAATCTTGGAGGTTTAAGTAATTTATCCTAAAAGTTAATACAAATTTATCTAACAATATTACAATAAGAAAAATAAATGAAATTAAGTTTTAACAAGATTAATAAAAGTTAATTAACAACTAATAATATTATAATCATTAATAATTAATTAGTTATGTTATAATAATTAAAAGGGTAAAATACAAAAAAAAAAGCTCCCCTGAAATTCCTAACAATCATAAAAACCTCCCTTGTTCTTTCACTTTAGCAAAAATCTCCCATAGTTTTTTAAAGAATACGACAAAAACCTCCCTTCCATCAATAACCAAGACGGAAAATGTTAAACTGTTGAATAAATTTTTCCCAAATGCCTATTTTACCCTTTTGCGAATGATTTGCATCTGTTTTTACTGAAATACCCCTGTCGACATGTTATCTTCTTCTTCTCCGCTGTCAACCTCTTCACCCTCTTTCCCTATCCTAATTTATCCGGTAAGAGGAGTAACGCAGGACGCAATCTCTCATCCAAAATCCATTCATTCAAGGAGGAACCTCTTTATCCTCTTTTCCTTTCTGTTTTTTCATATTATTTCTTTGTCGATTTCTTCCTCTTCTTTCAATCTTCCATCCTTAATTGCTGAGTCAATCCATTGAACTTTAACAATTTGCTATTCAAGATTTGAGATGTGGGTTGCACACAACTTTGTAATGAACTGTGTGGTTTTCTCATCTATATCTGGTTCACCCAACCAATGTCCTCTGTCTTCATCACTGCGATGCAGCCATCCCTTGTTTCTTGCTTCGACACCTATATCCTCCCAGTTGTGCGGCTTCTAACACTTGAATATGCTCAAGATGGAGAACAGGGATGATGATTTTCTTACTCTCTTTATCACATGTGGTTTTGGTACCCACCATAATTAATTACACTATTTTTTAAGAGGAGACTTTTCCTTTAAGCAACGACATCTAGAACACTGAAAAAACAGAGAAAAGGGGTTCAGGGTCACCGGTGCCATTGCCTCAGGAAGAATCATATTGGAAATACTTGACCATGCAAATTAACTCATCAAAGCAAGGACACCAAGGAGACAAACTCTAACGTTACATGCCCCTTGGACCGTGTGTTGATGACAAAATGTTTTGGATATTCCTTAGCAATGTAAGCAGTCCTAACCATGGTTTTCCCTTGGATTCATTGACAGGCCAGTCCTTTGATGCCAAACATTTCCATATTGCTCTACGATCTCAAAATGAAGTTTTGCCATGGGCATCCATTCTCGTGGACCACAAAGATCAGAAAGCACTGTAGCTCTTGACCTAGTTTCTGACTTTTTCTCTAATTGTCCAGATGACCCTGTCTTTCCTCTCAATCCACCATATCCAAACATCTCATGCCATTCTCTCTGTAATTTCTTGCTAGCACTAGCAACAATAGTGTTATTGGTGTCTTCCTCATCATCGTCCAAATAATCACTCGATATCCTACCCCCGCCCCTTCTTGGAAGAGTGATGCAGCGGTGGAGGCAACGCAACCCATGCAAAGGGTAGATGTAGCGGACAACAGAAGGGGTGGAGGAGAGTGAGGGATGTGGCGGGCAGAGAACCTCTAAGGATGCTGTAGACAATAAGGAGGAGGTAGAATTTCTTGTCGCCAATCTGGAGAAGGTCTTGGGAGTCCATCTTGACGGGAGAGTTACTAGGGAGGTGGAGGACGCCTTCGACGAAGCATCTGTTCTTCCCGACGACTTTGAGGGCAAAGCGACATCGTTGGAAATCGTAGAAGATGAGGGAGATGTTCATGCCACCGCCGAGGCTAGCGAGGTAGACGTCGACAATTGATTTCTTGCTGTTTCGACCAAGGATTATGGAATAGATCATCATGTAGTATCACTTTGGAGCTTGGCGAGGCTGGCCTCAACATCTCTCTCAAAAAATAGAGAAGGAAGAAGGTTGAAAGAAAGAAGGACACCGCCACACATGAATGGTCTACATACTTTTCAGATTACCAACATGAGGAACTTGCATTGCACGTGCTTTTGCCTATTGGCGCTATTCCCTATAGTCTACATACTTAAAATCTTTAATTTGTGGGAATGACGTTTTCATGTCATGTGAGAATGCTTTAAAAGGGTAGGATGGTCATTTTGAAAAATTAATGCATCGTTGAACGTTTTCTGTCTGGTTCACTAACGGAAGGAAGGTATGTGTGAGTTTTCCAAAAGTTCAGGGGAGATTTTTGTTAAAATAAAACTTGAAGAGAGGTTTCTATGATTGTCAGAAACCACAAGGGAGGTTTTTGTATTTTACCCTAATTAAAATTATATTAGTAAACTAATATAAATACTCAGTCTTATATCAACTTTTCTTAAAAAAATCCCGTACGGATCCTAACTAGTGTTATATAAACTTGATAATGTTTTAATAGATCAGGTATTATGTAAAGGAATCAAATTAGAAACTGTGTTTTATAAATCCACCCGATATTGGATTTATTTTGGATATCTTCAGTTTTTATCCCAATTCAATCAATCCATTTGCAGCCCTACCCGATGTTCGATAACCCTATATTAACAAACTTTCAATGTTGTCATGTGTAACGGGTCGGGTTAGAAATGGGTCATTTAAACCCAATCCGAACCTCACTACCCCAATTCCTATTTCAAGTTTTCTAGTTTCAACCTACTACAACTTGGGTAGGCCCTATCCACTTTATTAGTTTTGAACTGGGCTTTTACAACATAAATCCAAGCCCCGATCCAATGCAATCAAGACGAGTCCGATAATATTAATGTATGTGTAATTGTTAATACAAAATTACCTTACATTCATAAATAAAATAAAATTGGTCTAAATATCGTATTTTCATCAAACCCTCATCATAAGATTACGTAATCTGCACCCTAATATCTCAGCCAAGCCCATTCTAGTTCTATTTAGACCTTAAGGCTCAGTTTGGAAAGAGTACAATTGTATAAATACAAATATTTACAATGCAAATACATACAAAATAATATAAAATGTAAGGTTTGCATTCTACATATTTGTATTTATACTCCTTTCAAACTGAGCCTAAAGCCAATTTTTTTGCATCCAAGCAATAATAAGCCCATCTTTCAAGGTTTAACACAAACAAGTAGATGGGCTAAAGATAGATGGCCCAACTTGAGTTGAGACCATGCAAGCTTAAGCAAAATCCGTTTTGGTTTGGCTGAAGGCCTGAAGCGATCAGGCATTTAGGCTAATGGAAGGAAAATGTAATTCGTAGCATCAGAAATTTTCTTTTCCAATTTAATTATTAGCAGCAAACGTTTGTTTTGTTTGTGGGCTTAAAAACGCATAAAACATGGTTCAGTTCTTAGTAAAACGTCTAGCCCTTTTTTTTCTTTTTCTGTTTCTGTTTCTCAAATTCTCATTACAAATCGCTAAAGCTGGGTTTGGTTTGAAGGAAAAAGTAGGGAAAGGCAGGGAAACATTTACAAACATTGTATATGTTTCCTTACATTTCCCTTCTTTTCTCTACTTTTTCCTTCAAACCAAACATAGGTTAAGGGTTAGGTGAAGAACATTGGATTGGAAAAAACCAGCTTAACCCTTGCAAGACAAGAGCATTATGGCCACCGATCAAATTAAAAGACGGATTTGCTTTGCTTACAAATGAAGCACCAATCTCACATACAATTCATGGTAGTAATCCCCTTCATTTCACTCCCACTGTAACATAGGTTGGAGGAATATCAGCTCCTTTTTAACACCAGCTTGATCGAATGTATTTACCAGCACCTGGGCCATCCAGGAATTAATACTCCTGTTCCCTGTAATCCATGTACCCACATGCATGCAGTTGAAATTTTGGATCGAGCCAAACTTCAATACAAGGTGGGAGTGTTCATGGGCCGGCACTCTGAATTACATTGATCACAGCATTATATTTCATTAACATGCATGAATGAAAGAAACAGTTGGAGCCATCTAGTTATCTTCCTAATTAATTGACCCCATCATGAATGAAACCCTTTCCCTGATTTGCATGAGTACAAAATTGTATCTATCAAAAATGTAACAAGGAAATGAATTGTACCCCTCAATAACAATGTCAATCCCTAAGTACGTATCTTGAGGGAATCCCCGTTTGGAACAACCTAGCTTGATTGGTTTATTAATTACCATCGACGGAAATAATGTCATTGTCCAAAATTTTCACTTCTGCCTTGAAGGTTCCTACTTCCTAGCATGGATCGAGTCGTATTTCAGAAGGTGTGCAGCCTGCAAGAAAACAAAGCATAAAAAGTAATAAAGTTGGCGAGTATGATGCTTATTGACATGTGTGATGGCAACTTAATAGCTAGCTAGAGACTGCTGAGAGACAATTTGCACCAAAATATGAAATATCCATCAGAAAACACACCGGACAGGATTAGAACCGGCAACCTAGCTAATAATTAAAGGTTCATTAATTTCAAACTTGGATCATAAAGTGGAAGTGGAAGAGATCTCTTAACCCAAATTCGATCAGTATGAATCAGAAGAGCAATTAAGTATCATATATGGCCATGCCTAAGTACTGTTGATGATTGAGCAGGTGGTAATTTATCTTTCTCAGCTAGCTCTTGTTGTTGTTGTTGTAATTTTACAATTACAGTAAATGGATCAACAGATTCAAATCAGAATTGCCAGTGAACAATCTCAAGAGATCAACCAAAACCAATTAGAAATTGATATCTGAAGTTGCAACTCGATCGCTTGGGAGCGAGTTGGGCTGCCACCACATCAAGGAAAGACCCTTCTCTGGATTCTTTCCAAAGGTCACAGTCGACGTGCTGGATCGTAGTCCGTCGGAGAATTCATACACATCAAGCCTCTGCAACCAAAAGAGAAATGAAGTTACTAGTTTATTTGAGAGAGAGAGAGAGAGAGAGACCTTAGAGAAACATTGGGTAGGGTGAGAGTGGTGATCAGAGATCCTGGAAGGAAGCCTTGTATTGGCTGGAATCCTTGAGGAAGCTAGAGTTGCGTGGGTGGCCATGCTGCAACTGAAACCAGTGGAAAAATCTTGGGAGTATGTATTATATATACAGTCGATATATGGGTATCTCGATAATTTTGGTACTGTAATGTCGTCATATCTGGTAGGAATTAATAGACTAAAGCAGTGTGTGTGTGTGGTGAGAAGACATCAAGACAAGAGATATGAGATAAGATGAAGCGTGTGATGGCAACTTCTGAGTTTGAACCACACGAGATCGGCACTCCTTCTTACACTACCCACGTCAGTTTTTGTCTTCTGGTGTGTCTTCTATGGGTCCCACACATCTATAGCATTTTGAGTTGGATGATTAACCAACCTTCCATCGTGGCCGCTAGCATTTCAATTGTTCTACTAGATTCAGCAATAGAAAACAGGGGAAAGAGACCTGGTGGAGATTTACCAGCAAGGGAAAAAAAGAAAAAAAAAAAGAAAGACTGAAGAGATTTTGGCCTTTACTGCATCCAGAACAAGTTATACACAATAACAATGTTTTCCAACCGCCGTTCACCCAGTAAACTGGTTTCGTTTTCTCTCATTGAATTAGTTAATAATCCATTGACTCGGGTTTTATCAAAATAGATCATTCATTTGAACCGAAATCTGAAAACCGGTGGCCAAAAAAGTTTCCATTCTAGATCGTTTTAAAATTAGTTAATAATCCATTGGCCTCTCGTTAACTGTTAATTTCAAATTATGAATACAGTGTTTAGAGACCTTTTTCCTGGGTCGTATGCAGGTAGGCTTCCCCTTCCCCTTACCCATCACAGTCCTTTCTTCTGAGATAACTGTTGCGTCAAAAAACCTGATTTTATACTCTTCAAAAAAAATTCTGATTTTACTTTCTCTTTTTATCCTCTATATTTTTTTTTTTTTGTTTTCCCAGTATTTAACTACCATAAGGCCGTACGTTGTTTATCAAAGTGGGGCAGTTACAATGGTCTAACTCTCTATTTACAATTCCAATATTACCCCTGGAAATTGGAAATGAGAGTGGGCCAAATAACAAATGCGTTTTTGTCCCATTCTCACCCCTACAAAGTTGCAAATATCGGGTTGTCCGATTGGGCAAACACCCTGATATGATATTACTTGATATGCTTTAGCATTGGCGAATAGAAGTTTCTCTTCTCCGTTGGATGACGAATGTTTTTTTTTTTTTTTTTTTGTACTAAAAAATGAACAAGAGGAAAGCAGCATTCTTTTCTATTCATAATAGTTGATGTGGGATGGACCTGGAAAAAAAATAGAAATAAGATAAAAATAATCTAAGAATTATATAACACATCAACTTTTCTATTTATCATAAAACAGAAAAAGAAGTTCTTTCAGCTATACTTAAAAGTAAGCAAATTAGACTGCTTTTCTATTCATTAGAGTTGAATAGATCAAATGCTTTCCTTTGAGATACACTTATATCTTTGTTCACCACTCCAATGCAACATCTACTAGTTCACATAGCTACTCTTGGAACTCCAACTCAAACAAACCGACCTTTTCTTAGAATTTAAAGGTAAACAAAGTGAAGTGATTGAAAATGCTATGTAGAGATAACTGAAAGTTCTACAAACATGAAGCATTTTGAGAAGTATTTATTAAGATATGCAAGTAAGATTGAGGGTTATTTCTACCATCCCACAACAAAGATGGCCATGATAGCTATTATATCCAAGTAAGATTCACCTCTACCAAGTGTTGATTCTGTCAATTAGCATTTATTGTTAATTAATGAAACTAGCTAAATATACCCAAATTCATCTGAAACTACTTAATCTTAGGTCCAATTAGCTGTCAATTCCTTGTAGGAGTTCATCAGTTTTTTTTTTTTTTTTTACAAATTCCAACTAGTCTGAAACAT